ACACACACACACACACACGTTCATACATCCATACATACATTCATGCATGCAGAGAAACAAACAGACGCAGACACAAACACACATATATACAACAGGTAAACATACAATCCTGTTTACGTCTTCTGATCACTTGTGTTAAATATCCCACAGAAGTCCCCTTCATACAAAGAGCTACACTGGAAACTACAACCAGACAAATATTCTTGTGGAGCTTTCAGATTCCACACATAAACACGCCTGCATTTAAACGGATCAAAGTGTGCGGTAATGTGTGGGGCTTGACCGTTAGAAGACAAAGATGCTGAAACTAGTGACAAAGGCACACGCGCGCGCGCACACAAACACACACACACACACACACATACACATACACATACACACAAACAACGACGACATGAACACACAGACACAAATACGCAGAAACGTATATACACATACATAAATACAGGTACGTACGTACGTACACACACATGTACATACATATATATACACACACACATTTGTACAAAAACGCACAGCAAACAGTTGGTCCCAATTCTATTTCATTTTCGTTGTTCTGCTTACCTGGTCACATGGCAAATCAATCGTTGGTAGAAGAATTTATCTGCAAAAATACAAAAGTCAACATTTAAAATACAAATTGAGGGACTCCCAGAAATTATTTTTCAAAATAAAATACTTCTACACTTTTATTTTTTAAATTTTAAAGACTCCCTTTTGTCTTTAACAATTCAGCAATCAAAGTAACACTAAGCAAAAAAAACTTAAAATTAGAGTTACTTCTCGGGTTTGCACTTCAGCAGCTGAAATACAGAAATAAGTCGTATAACGGACTGATGCACATACCCGTTACAAAGACAAAACTCATTTGGTCAGAAACACCCTAAATAATTCCCAACTTCATATATTACTGCTTTAACTAAATTTACATCTCAATTACAGTGATGCCCCCAATCATTATAGAGTTCTGCTTTTTCTGCCTGAAAGCGTAAAACTGTACTTTTACAGCTAATTCTTACACTAAAATTATGTTTCCGAGCGGAAAAGACAGAAACTTTTACTGCAATGTTCACAAAACTAACCTAGTTTTCGGCCTCTCTACTCATGAAAAAATTGAGTTTCTGACCACGATCTCCACTATAATCATAAAAAGTTAATCCCAAAATTTTCAATTCAGTAAAGCACAACAACCTTTATGGATTCCATAAAGGTTTTCAGCGTTCGCAGAGTTTAACTGCAACCGTTTTGCTCCAGCAATTTCCAAACCATTTTCAGCGATATATCTTAGAATTGCCTGAACAACAATGATTTTTTATTATTTAAGTACAAATGACAAATAACTGGATTAAAGAAAAGGAAAAAAAAATAATTGAAGTCCAGCAACAAACAGAGGCCATACGAGCTATCAAAGTTCAGAAAACTCCTTCTGGCCTCTTTTTATGCTCTGAAAACCAACAGCTTTTGTGGCAAACAAAAATCAACTGTATAGGGAAATGATTTTCACTCACAACTTTGAAAAGAAGGAAAGCATCTACTTTTATAAGAAAAGCAAAGATTTCAAAATTATTGCTTAAACGCAGGTACCTTAAGAAAGATTTCATTCAATACATGTTTAGATTTCATTCAATACATGTTTAAGGAACTGGTTATAATGGTTATAGAACATAAACCGATATAGTTTTAAATCCTTGGATAAAAATATTCTGTTTATATAAAATAGCAAATTCAAGTGTCAAAGATACTATGACAGTAAGAAACTAACTATGGTTATTCAAAAAAGTTTTAATGCTTGATTCAAAAAGAACAAAATACTACTCAGCGTTTTCTACGAAGCTCTTATAATTTAATTTGATAATATACAGAAAGTAACAAGTAACATGTCACAAAACTGCTGACACAAATGTACTTAAAAGAACTATGAACAAATTGAACAGAACGGGTACTCTAGAGTAGAAGCCCATAATAGCTGAACTTAAATTAAAAATTTCAAAACTTTGATTGTCCACAATTCAATCTTTTAGCACAAGAATGAAAGCAAATGAGGAAGTTCTACAATCCACTTAAATGAAATAATTCATTCTTAGTTTCATGAGCTTGTACTTCATTCTTATTAATTTACATGAGTTAGTTTCAGATCAATAAGTCTCTTCCACTGAAAATTTAAAAAGCAACATGCAGTAAAACAAACAGAGTTACAACAAAATATTTAAAAATCGGAATAGCAGCAAAAAGTAAAATAAAGTAAAAGAGCAACTCATGACAATTTTCAAAACTTTGCTCTAACAGAAAGAGTATACAGCAATTATGCAAAATTACTGACTGCTCAAAATAAGCAAGGTTTCAACAAAAAACTTGGGACTGAATGAGGTGCGAAGATTCCTCTTCATACTTCTAAATGAATTTAAAAACTAGTATCTAAAAACTGAATAACAAAGCATAAAGCAAAAAAACCAGAAATCTTATCGTCCAAGATTCGACTACACACCTATCCAACAGAAAATTAAAAAACTTAACAAATTCTTGGCACAACACTGATTTATAAAAAAGAACCTTTACGACATCTAACTCTACATATACTTAATCACTAAACGTTTTGAGACACAAAAAAGTGCACAGAACTCCACTCCTAATCAAACCTGTTAGAGGTTTATAAAAAATCAAATTAAATGTTCCTCTACCTTCCCACTATGAATCTTTTTTGTTCAAACCTCAGCAAAAAATAATAAAGAATAGAAACTCCAGTTTCATGTCGACGCCTTAGCCAAAAAAAAAAAAAAAAAAAAAAGACAACAAAAAACTACAAACGGTAGGTTCAAAACAACTGTGAAACAACCATAAACGAGCATTGCGCGTTTTAAGATAACTACAAAATATGATTATTCCCAATATTACTAGCCTTCAGACGCATCTCCACTAAATCATTACTCACAAACAACCACAAAATGGAACTGAATGAGCAAGAAATTTCCAACAAAGTTTGCAGAAACCAGAATACCAGAAGAAATTGTATCAGGAACTTGATTATCCGAACCAAGCAAAACCAGAAGTAGCCCAGATTATCGAATAATTTTTCCAGTTCTCTCTATTTTGTTTCAACTTTACTAAAATTATTTCAATACATCTCTGAAACCTGTTGGCTGAGAGCACTTGTTCCACTAGCTGTCTTGGCTTCTTCGACTGCTAAACAACTACGATTTTACAAAATATCAACTTTTCCAACTTACCATGATCAGTATGAAATTGGTGTATATCCAATACTTTCAAACTCTGGTGCCCGAGAAAACTCAACAATTTTAGAAAACCTCCGTCATTTAACCTTATTTCATAAAGACCAAAAATAAATTTTGTGCCGAGTTTTCTTGTACATCAAAGTTTGACACTATTGGATATACACCAATTTAATCTCACAAATAGTTCAACTTTATAACCTTTCAAAATAACATAAAAACAAATATAATTTAGAAGAATAACAAAGGAAACCAAAGACAACAGGTTATAAACAGATACTAAAGCTATCTGCTAAACAACCATTTTAAAGCTTTGCCTATTAAAGACGTTTAAAATACCTGATATAATATCTGAAAGCTCTTTAACAGCAATGACTGCAATAACAGCCTGAAAGACTACGAAAAATAATACAACTCTAATTTACGGGTCACATCTTCTTTGTATATCCAAAGTTATGCTGTTACGTCCCGCAGCTTCTGAAGGCTACCATAAGGAAAAACAAAATTTTATATATTTTGTTACAGTTATATAAAAGTAACTGTAACTAATTGTAAAAGAAAAATTTGATGAAAAAGTAGTGTTGGTACTATTACTTGAAATCAGAAATGACATTACCACAATTTGAAACAAATTACATGACAGGTTATTGTAAGAAATTAAACTACATTTGTTTTGAGAACAATCATTGAAAACTCGTAAAAGCAAAACTTAGATAAAAGTATTAATAATAAAACACAAATGCCAAAAAATTTTTCGTAAGATGGCAGAAAAGATTCGAAAAAACAAGCACTAAAACCATTTTGAACTATGGCATAATGGCATGAATAAAAAGAGAGACTGTGTAAATCATCATTAAAACAGATGTCAATAAATTACTTTTTAGCTAAGATTACTTCGCATCAGAAAGTTAAAAGCGAGCTTAAAAGTGACAAGAATACCAAAAAAAAACCTTTTTATTAATTGTTTTGAAAAAGTTTTCAAGGAAAGAAAAAGAGCCACTACAACTTAAGACGGTTCACAACAACAAAGATAATGGTACTAAAAAAAGAAAATTTCTAAACTTTTAGAATTAACTCGACAAGATTACATAAAATGTAATTAACCAACAGCGGCATAAAAACCATTAATAGAGAGCAAAGAATAAATGAATCGCCAGAATCCATCTGGTCTATTACAAACTTTTGCCACATACCTTAACTATCTGTGGAATTGCAACAGCCTCTGGCTTGATCATTGCGAATGTCGTTGAAACCATTGTAGGAAATACAGAAAATTTGTCTCCACGAAAAATCCAACTGTTCTGTAGAATTTATATCAAACAACTATCACTACGTATCAAAGTACAAAAAATTGAAACATTTGCTTGCGGTAAGTTCAATATCTACAGCATCTCCTTCAAGTTTTGCAAACAACAATTTCGTTAGCAGCATATACTAAATAATTGAAGTTTTTTAAGAAAAATTACAACGACTTCAAACTTCACAAAAATATCAGGCAGTTCACCAACACAGTTTAAAAAGTCTTGCGGAAATCCGAATTTTTGAAGGAGCATTTCACCTTCAACCTGTCAATCCTGAATGAACATTTGAAATAAAATCTGCTCGCTCTTTGTAGAAGTATCTCGTAAATACCCTCGTATTTACTTCTTTTAAAACAGTACCTTGTCCATTCCTCAACCACCGTTGAGACTTCAATATTAAGTCCTATATTTTTCATTTATTTTTAAGTCACACTATTTAGTGCATTTATTGGTAAAATTCTTAATTTGTTACGATTTACGACCAAAGAAAAATAGAAATGCTTAGCATAAAACTCTCTCTTCTTTCATTTACTTACGATATGAAAGACAAATACTGAGAGAAACCGCTTATGGCAAGAAAAATAAAACTGCTACCAGCTTTCTTGATCACTTCAGCGAACAGAACAAATAAATTGTAAAAACGTTATAATAATGGTCATGTTCTCAAGAATAAGCAGAAACACTTAGAAAAAAAAGACAGAATATTCTTAAGTGACAGCACTATTAATCGATAATAAAGAGGCTTGCTATACGAGTAGAAAAAGTGACTGTAAAGATCCATTATGCCACACTGTAAGCGAAAATAACAAAAAAAGTAACGAGATTCCTCTGATTTTTACAATGAAATAAAGCTTAATAACAAGTAGGAAGAAAAAAAATGCTAAAAAAGAGGATTTGATATCTCAGGACAACTTTGCGTAGATAATTGGCAACAAACTGCACAACAGTTGATAAGATTTCCCGATCATACAGCTGCACAAGCGAATTATGCAAGAGAACTATGAAGTGGCAGGTGAAACGAAAGAACTGGACGTGAAAATGAAGTATACTATCTGATTGTTCCAATACCAGAACCCTTCCGACCAGAATCAACCTGGTGAAGAACTTTTGCCTCACGTACCAGCGTCGAATCGCATTCTGCTGACATATTGCGAGTAGCGCTATCGTTAGAAAAAAATTTGAACTTCAAAAGATGGCATAGTGCCATTTGAAAGTTTTCGCCATGCTGTGCAGATTTTTGAATAGCAGCGAGGAACAACCGGCAAACAAACTCGTTTGACCGCCGGCTGGTACATTTACCAACGGTTCCATATTGCCATTGACTGGTATTGAATACAGCGGATTTAGAGACATTTTTGGAATAAAACAAAAAAGTGTACTTTTCGATGTTCTCTTCACTAATTAGCACACTTTTAACTGTTATTATCACTGCTACTGATATGCTGCCTACTGAATCTTATTTGCTACGTGAAAAAACGCTTGTATAGAGTTTAGTCTCCTTTAAACAGTTTAGATCTTTCCAACTATTTAGCCAAAATAAATAACTTTTCTGTACAGAGGTTTTTATGGGTTATCAAGAATCACTTCTCGTGGTTCCCAAATTTGATAAAAAGCTAAAAACAAAGTTGAAAAAAATCTGCATTTTATAGTTTAGAAAATCCGCTAGATGGTATTAAATAGACACTTTTTGTTACTGTGCGGAATTACGACTTAAAGTCATGTACTGATCAATAAGGTTCGGCTACAAAACCTGTTACATTTCTGAGTTGTTTGCGGTGCAACTGGTAGTAGTAAATTGCCTTGCCTATTTCTGAACTATTTTGACTTTTTTCTTTTGTTTTCAGACTGGTTCATAGTTGGTCATTTTCAAGTTAATCGTTATTCAGCCATTTGTTCGGTTATCTTTTTTTTTGCACCGACAAAAACCTATTTATTACTCTATGATTGAAGGTGACCAGGCGACGGGAACATAAATTTTGATCTACCACCAGAGAAGGTTGTATGTCAGTTGTGTGTAAAAACAAGCGGTAAAGAGAATTTTTCTATATTGTGGGATGCGGAGTATCGGAGACTATCGCTATCTGTATAATGATGATAAACGTTGTGGCTAGGAATAGAAAGAGTTCGGCAAAAACATTGTGGCAAGCAGTCTCAGCTTTGTGTACGTATTCTATTGAAAACAAAGTCTGTCGTAACCACTGGTAAAACGTGAACGAACTGAAACTTCTAACGACTAATATGCACTGAAATGCGGCTTCTGTTGTATCTAGTTCTTCAAAACTTTCACTTCTTTTTTGACTGGCTCATTACCTCTGATTTATCTGTATTAGTTGGGGCTTTTTTAATTTTTCTGCCCGCGTCCAAAAAGCAGAGATTTATTGTAACATTAACTAAAAGTTGAAACCTTGGTTTATCATTGAAAGTAGGCTGCTTGATTGACTCGATGGAGGGAGTGAGAATGGGAAGTGTTGTTACAAAAGTAAGGTGGAAAAAGTACTAAATGGATGAAAATATCGAACTGGTGAAACGATTGTTTATAGCAGCGGTTGATTTTAGACAGAAAATGTCTTGTTTTTTGTTGAAAACTTCATATTTCTTTCAGTTAAATAGTGATACAGTGGTATTTTCAGCCAGTATTGTCCGATAACTTGTATATCCAGCATCTGTCTTGATTTGGTTCCAGACATTTGCATCTCTTTTGTGGTGCTTGAAACTTTGTTTCCTGTGGTGTTGCTCTATCTGAAACGGTACCTTTTCGGTTGAATAACTGTAGTGTCTCTTTAAGGTAGCAGCATTTTTAAGTTTATAACTAGTTTCTAAGTCACTAACTTCGTTAACACGGATTTAGGATTTGATAGTTTAAGGTATCAGTTTATCTTCTGTATTTCAAGCAGTGCAAATTCTGTACGTTGTAACTGTTTTCTTTATTTGTTTGTATGATTCTTACCTCTGCTTGGCGGGTATCATGGCTAGCGGTGTTTTGTCAGATAACGTGTCAACTGTACTCGTTGAATGGAAGGGCTGTTCTGTAGTCATAGTGAAAAAAATTAATTGCTGAGTACAACGTAACCATTCTGTCGTTCATCAGCATCTTTCTCGTCCCACTTGCGTTGTCAATTTGATTTTTATTGTCTTGTATAAATTTCTTAAACCAAATTACTAAAATACAGGAATGAATACGTAAGCGAACAGACTCTGTTGACGATTTATATCTACAAACCTTTTGTAGTGTTTGGTACTTGTTGGAGAGTAAATCTACTTAAATAAAAAACTTATATATGAGTTTTTGAATCGATAGCAAAATAATACGTTTGATTTGGTCGGTTTGCACGAATAACAAATGCACTTATCTACAATAAGGTCTGAATGGAAGTTGCTTAAACTGTCAAAGTTGGTAAATTTGCGTAAATGGTATTTATGTGTTGGCCTGTAGCCCTACTGCCTTATTCAGTTAGTTTTTGGAAAGCTGTTGTTACGTATGCTGAAGTATGCCTGATTAGTTTCTGGTTTTTTGTAAACTGTTCTGCCCCGAAATCACTCTCATGTTTTTCACTAGTTTTGACTGTCCAGTCGATTTTATTATTTCTTAGGTGGTGTCACTCACTGCTGTCTGTATTTATATGGAACAGATAGCTTAGTAGTGTACTGGAACTGGATTTTATGCATATTCTGCATCATTTTTAATGACTGATTTTTGAAAAGTAGAGTGCACGAACGAAAGCTGTACATTTCAAGGACATAGTTTTCCTCTACATCAGTAGTTTTCAGCCCACCTTGGACTTTTATTGTGGTAATGGAGAACGGATTGACGGAAGTATGGTCGTCACGATGGTTTAAAGGAGTACAGAAAGTGTTTTCCCATTCCAGGTGTTTCCACTATTTTTTTTTTTTCATATTATTTAAGGAAAATTATTCTTTCAATAGATGCTTTAAATTTACTTTGAGGATTTCAAGCCAGCACTCGTCATCATCAGCATATGTTGTGCATTATATTTCATATTCTGCCCCAGTTTCTATTTTTTTACGTATTATACTGGTAAATTGCATTGTTTTACTGTGAGCTGTTTTCAATGAGTTCAAAACTTTCTATTTACTGGGCTAAAAGAATTTTTTTAAAACCAATTTAATAGTCAGTTAGAAGCGATATCTGAAAACTCAGTTATTTGCGAGGTCGTCTATTAAGAAATTTTTTGAGACATATGGTGAACTAAAGTTTTGTATTGTGGTTCAGTCACAAATATTTTACATTGCTTTTTTCTTTAAGCTCCGAATTGAAATGCACCGTCAACTTTGGCATTTATCTTCCGGACTTGAAAGAAGGGGAAAAGGCACCGGTCCTTCTATATCTTTCAGGTAGGCTTTGTCTTCGCTTGCAATTGTCTATTATAATTGCTTTCTGTTCTGTCCTCTTTGAAAGCTTCTATGTAATATTTTCAAATAGCATCTTTCTTTTTTAGGTCTTACGTGTACAGAAGATAATTTTATCAGAAAAAGCGCATTTCAGAGGTACGCTTCTGAATTAAAAATGATTGTCGTGAATACTGATACAAGTCCTAGAGGAGATGACGTTGAGGACGACCCGGAAAGTTATGATATAGGAAAAGGTGTGGTCTTTAGCTACATCATGTTTAGTTTTGCATTTTATCGTTTGTTATTTGTAATTGTTGAAACCCTCAGCTCATTATTTTTTTTAAGTAGCACTCTAAGAAAATCTGGTTGTAAATGGCATAGCATTTTGATACAATTTATACTTTGCAATGTTTAGGTGCAGGGTTTTATGTGGATGCTTTGAATCCAAAATGGGATCGTCATTACCGGATGTACTCTTATATCACCAAGGAAATTCCACGTTTGATAACGGAAAATTTTCCCCAGTGTGACAAAAATAAGTGGGGTATTTTCGGTCATAGTATGGGCGGCCATGGAGCTATTGTCATAGGTTTGAGAAATCCGGATATCTTCAAAAGCATTTCTGCTTTTGCTCCCATTTGCAATCCAACTAAGTCCCAGTGGGGACAAAAGGTTCTTTATTTCGCTGTAACGTCCAAAACATTTTTAATAGTTCTACCTGCTAAGTCTGCTTGCTAATGATATAATGGAGTCTTTGGAGTTATGTTTTGAATCTTAATTTTTTTTCTTAGGTTTTTCCTGCTTATCTTGGTACGGACTCAAACATCTGGAAGTCTTATGATGCCGTAGAAGTGATAAAAGCATACTCGGGTCGTGAAGTCAAAATCTTAATTGACCAGGGAACAGTAGATGAGTTTTTAGAGCAACTAATGCCTATCAGTCTTGAAGCGGCACCTTCTAACAAGGTAGCAATTACATTCCAGTCAAGTCTGCTTTTAATTAAATTATTACTGCTCATATACAGTTCGAGCTGCAGTGCTTTTTCAATAACTTACCTGTATTATTTCGTTCGTGACAGAAAGCGAATATTTAGGTTCACATACAGTTGCGGTATCAAGAGGGATATGACCATTCTTATGCTTTTGTCTCTACATTTATCGAAGAACATTTAAGGTTCCACAAAGATGTTCTATCTCAAACATCGACGTAGGCGTCTGTATTAACGAACTTTGTCAGAAATTTTTTTTGTAAATCTTTGTTCGTTATCTGCAGTTTTTTAAACTTTACCTATGTGGGTAACAACTTCAAAAGACTAATTTATAAATTCTCAAACAAAATTAGCTTGATGTGAAGACGTTACATTAAACTCTAAAAGTCTAGACTTTTTTTGTTTTGGTGCACACGTATTTTTGAGGTCTATTGCTTCGGATATCATATAAGTGAGACTTGTGGTATTTGATAATGAATGCACCTTTAAGCAGACTTTAGAATGTCTGTGTTTCGAAGGCAAAGTTTTTCAAATCATTTCAGACCAGTTCATTAGATTATAAACGTTTTTAAAGGTGTCGTTAATTGTGAGTGAAAAAGCACTTGGACCGATCCATTTGATTTCAAGAATGTTATTATTTTCAAGGATATTTGCAGAAGATGAGCGTTTTAAGTTGTGTTTTTTGGTGGCATATAATATTACATTAAAAGTCATGGAGAAACTCGGTGGTTTTTTCACATAGTTTTTTAATTGCCCTTTTCCACACAACGTTTTAATAGAAAAG